GTCGACTGCTTTGTTTGTACTTTGTATTATAAATATATCTACCAGCAAGGGTGGCATATGCATATTTTTGTAGTAACATCAAGAGCAACCCAGCTGGAAGGGACCCCCGAAGATCATCTAGTTTCACCTCCCGCACGATGTGGTTCTACCCTCTTACCCACATTAAACTAGCAATCAAGGTATGTTCTGCCCTTGAGAAAAAAGTGACGTTCACGACTGGGTGGGTTTTTGTGTGTGTGTGCACGAATGGTTCCCTCTGAGCAAAATGGCAGTGCGGCTCGTCAGACGTACACCCCTCGGGCCAGACACAGACTCCCGCCTGCAAGCCACGCTGCTGCTATGAACCAACACTTCTGACCCTTCACAAGAGTGTCATTTTGCATTTCTGTTGGTGTGAACGACAAGGATTACAGTTAGTTTTGAGTCCAGTAGCACGTCAGAGAGACCATGGGCCATTTCGTAGAAAAAGAGGTGCAGGAGCCCATTAGCATAACTCAGCATAGGCCACACCCCCTGACATCACCGGAAGTGTGTCAGAAGGCAACACCCACCGCTCAGGCTCCACTGGACTGTTTTGGATTGCTAGCTATGGGGGGGGGGAGCTGAGTGAGTGTGAGCTAGCTCACAGTTTCTTAGCCTCCGGCTCACACATTTCTGTCTTAGCTCAGGAAATATGGCTCCAGAGCAAACTAATTTACGCAGTAGCCAAATCGCACGCTCACAACTTTAATGCCAGTAGCTCACAAAGTAGAATTTTTGCTCTCAAGACTCCACAGCTTAGAGGGAACATTGGCCCGCCCCCTGGGCTCTTTACTGCCGGAGCTCCGCTCCTGTCGCTCCTGCAGGAAATGACCCTTGAGAGAGACCAACCAGATGTTCGGGGGGGGGGGTATAAGCTTCCGGGAGCCAACCCTGACAAAGGGAGCGTTGAGTTTTGGTAGCTTACACCCTGCAAGCCCTGTTGGGCTTGAGCGTGCTACTGGACTTCGGTCTAGCTCTTCAGATGCAGGCCAACACAGCCGCCTTCTGAAAGAAGGAAGTCAGAAGTAGGGCTCTTTCTGTAGCAGGAACTCCTTTGCATAGTAGGCGACACACCCCTAATGTAGCCAATCCACCAAGAGCTTACAGAGCTCTTCTTACAGGGGGCTACTGTAAGCTCTTGGAGGATTGGCTACGTTAGGGGGCGTGTCACTTAATATGCAAATGAGTACCTGCTACAAAAAGAGCCCTCAAAGGAGACTGAGACTGGGAAGGGCGACTTTGAAGGAGCCGGAAAAGGTTCTTAAGTGTTAAGGATGCTTTGCCGGGGACCAAGATCGAGTCAATCCATGCCGCAGTATCAACGCTCCCTCTAAGCCAGTGGTGGCGAACCTATGGCACGGGGGCCAGAGGTGGCACTCAGAGCCCTCTCTGTGGGCACGCGTGCCATCGCCCCAGCCAGGCCCAGACCATCATCAAAGTGTAGAATTCTCTGCCAAATAATTTTAAGTAAATGAAAGCATTTGGGATTGCTTTCCTTACTTTGTTTGGATCATCTTAAGTTAATGCTGGGAAAGATTGAAGGTCAAAGGAGACGGGGACGGCAAAGGATGAGATGGTTGGACAGTGTCAGCGACGCAACGAACACGAAATTGAGCCAACGTCAGAGGACAGCGGAAGACAGGAGGGCCTGGCGTGATCTGGTCCATGGGGTCGCGAAGAGTCGGACTCGACTGTGCGACTGAACAACAACAAAAGTTAATGTATGAGTTGTTTTTTCTAAAGTAAAACCTCAGTATTCAGGTTAAATGGCCGTTTTGGCACTTTGCGATCAATAAGTGGGTTTCGGGTCGCCGTTTGGGCACTCGGTCTCTAAAAGGTTCGCCATCACTGCTCTAAGCTGTGGATGTCTTGTGAGCAAAAATTCTCCTTTGTGAGCTACTGGCATTAAAGTTGTGAGCGAGCCATTTGGCTGCTGCGTAAATTGAGTTTGCTCTGGGGCCGTCCTTCCCGAGCAAAGACAAAAATGCGTGAGCCGGAGGCTAAAAAACTGTGAGCTCGCTCACACTGACTCAGCTTAGAGGGAGCACTGCACAGTATCCCTCGTTGCTACGTGTGGGTGTGAAAGCTGGACAATGAAGACAGCCAACAGGCAGGAAGGAGATTCCTCTTGTGCTGGAGGAGACTTTTGCCGCTACCGTGGACTGCGAAAAAGACCAATCCGTGGGTTCTAGACCAAATCGAGCCTGAACTCTCCCCTAGAAGCTAACATGACTAAACTGAGGCTCTCGTACTTTGAGAATACAATACTCCCTGGAAAAGACAAATCGTGCTAGGAAAAGTAGAAAAAATACATAAGGGAACACAGCGCTATGGGGCAAAAACATCGTGAACATTCTCTCATAAACAATGTGTGAACCAAATAAAGACTCTTAGAAATTCACAAGAGGGGGACCCGCGATACTCGCGCGGGGGGAGAAGAGCTCCGTCTCCTCCATCCCCCCCCATCTCCCCGAGGCGGCGGCGAGGCCGGTGTCCCCCCGCCCGGCCGCCCGCCCTCCCGGCCTGCCTGCCGGCTCCGGGAAGGAGGCGGCGGCAGCGAGGC